TTTCAGCCATGGTTAACGTGGAGGCTCCACAAAATGTTTCAGAACTCTGTCGTTTCTTGGGAATGGTCAATGAACTCGGAAAGTTTCTTCCAAGAGCTTCCAAAGCTACAATCGTGGCAAAAATTGCACATAATTTTTGCCAGGATTGTCTGAAAATAACCTAAAAAATATCGATAGTTTTCACTTAAAGCAGGCCTTTTACTTTAAATTTTTGATGTTGCCATTGCTTTAAGATAACAAAAAGATTGTTTAAACTGGTTTAATTTTTTTAAACCATATTTGTAATTTTGTGGGTGAGCAGCTTTTGGCCATGATATATGCTTTGCTGAGCTAATTATGCAGACGCAGTGAGACGAGTTTCAACAAAAGTACTTTAAGCGCATCACCAAATTCACACTAAATATAACAGACTATAGGGTTATTTTAGTGTATACGCATCTGAAGCGCTCACTATTTTCAGATTTTTTATAACAAACGCAGCCCAACAGCCAGGCGCGGATCCAGTGGTTTTGTTGACTGATGCACTAAACCTCGCATTTGTAGGGGGGTCCGGGGGAATCCTCCCCCGGGAAATTTTGAAATCTAGGACCTCGGAAATGCGATTTCCTGCGTTCTGAGGGAGCTTTTCTTCGAAGTTCACACATCAAAATCGAAACGTAATTTGCTGGATTTTCGGGAAAAAAACCCGTAAAAAATCGGCCTTATAGAGTGAGAACAACATAATCATGTGAATTTTAAAATAAATTGAAAACACTTTTACGCGGAGTTTTATCAGATCGAAACTTGACTGGCCTTATTTATTTGATCTTATTTGAGTGAGGATTATAGAGTACCAAAGTTGTAGCTATACATATACACAGCATACTGATAGAATAATTGAAAGCAAAACCACAGACATTTTTTCTATGTAAAATATGGTGCAAATGACATGAAAAGCTGATCAGGGTTGTGTTTCTTATGCAAAATAGATAAGAATACTTCAAGCAAACTATTATATTCATTGCCAATGATATCACTTCCTGTAACTTATCACTTCCTGTTACCAGTTAACACCAATCAATATAACAATGTTCCAGGTCAAATACCTTCCAGCAGCACCACCATGACATAAATTCCAGTTAAATTATTTTAATAATCCAGGATTAATTCCAGGGTAACTTTGAGTTACTGTATATGAAGGCCCTCTCTGGAGCTAGTCACTCTAATATTTATGGTGCATTTATATCCAACATTTTGACAAATGCAGTTTGAATTTTTAAATACTGTAAGATTATCAAAGTATTCAAGGGTGTTAGGTAATAGTTTTCATTGTTGCTGAGCAGTTAATAATAAAAATAAACAATTATTGAAACTATTTGCAGAAAATAGATTGTTCTACTGTATTTGAAGTCTGAATATCTACAATACATTGACCAATATATCTCCACAGAGTTTGCATTGAATCCCAAATTACAGTACATTCAGGAGAGTGTCTAGGACTACTGTATGTATCCAAAACTGCTGTTTCAAGATATTAAGGATAGACAGGGAGAAGTGCATGTTATGGACTTGGTAGGTATCTGATTGCATGAGCAGGATTGACAAGCTTCAGTAACAGTGGCAGTGCAGTATATTGTGATCAACTCAATTAGTACATTGACTTATCAATGAAAGTGAGATAATTTATCAATTTATACATTAATGTATTCTATGCAATGACCCTTTGTTCTATTGAAAATAAATGATAGAATGATCAGAACAGTAATTTGGTCCCATAACTGCTAATTAGACTGGTACATTTAAAATGAACACCTTGTGCTGAGCCATGGTCATGAGAATGGTATAATTTAAAGGCATATGAACAATGCCAGGAAAAGCATCACAAATTTAAGGGCCCGAACTTGAGAGAGCCCAGCTAAATTTATTCCCTTCCTAAACATGTGAATCCCCTTTATTTTCAGCATCACAATAATTTGCCGGTCACCCCCTGTGCCTCTCCCCTCACCTTGGCAGAGGCAACCCTGATACATGTAATGCCATTTAGTGTGATTCATGGCTTCTGGTACTAAGTGATGATTCTGGAACAATAGAGATAATATATAACTGAACTAATCTCACTATCACCAAACATTGCCCTTTCAAGAGCTTCCCATTTCCAAAATGATGCACATACAGGGATAGATTTGGATATGGGAGGGATCTAATTAGGTGCGGTGCCGGTATTGATGTCGGGTGTGAGCATCAACCAAGGCATGGTGTGTAATCATACAGATAGCAGTGTTTTGGGGAAACAGCACCTAACAAGTAACCGGCCAAGTAACCGGCAGGTGCCAGGAATATAGCTGCTAGTAAGGGTTGCAGGATCCTAGACAGAGTCCCTTAGACTGTAAGAATCTCAGGGAGAACTGCAAAATATTATGAAGCATCTAGATTCAATTTGCATTTTCAAACAAATTAAGACACAACCTCCACCCCCCACCCTGAATGGCATATTGAGTGTTTATATGTGAACAGCCAAAACAGGATCATCCATGTTGACATATTTAAAACAGTTCAAATATAGTAAATTTTGTAAAATTGTGATATTTATACTACGACAAATATACCTATACCTACAGTATTTATTATAAATATCAACACACAGTCACACACAGACTCACTCGTTTAAATCTACATCTATAAACACAGTACACAGATCCCAAACATTCCCTTGTGAAATTACTGAAATAGCTGACAAACCTTTTAATTTCGACGGCTTTGAGGCTCAGTGAGTTTGAGTGAACCACCAAAGATCGTAAAATATTTCCATACAATGCGACATACAATGTGCCATTAATACTGGCATGCAGTAAAACACTGACTACCGGAACACCGGAACAGCGCCGGAACACCGCCGGAACACCGCCGGAACACCACCTAACCCTAACCCCAACCCTAACCCCCAATCCTAACCCTAACCCCAACCCTAACCCCCAATCCTAACCCTAACCCCAAACCCTAACCCCAAACAAAATGGTGGTGTTCCGGTGTTCCGGTGGTGTTCCGGTGTTCCGGTAGTCAGTGTTTTACTACATGCCATTAATACTCCCGCCATTATATAACAATTCGACCATAAAATTTATCACTGACTGTTCTGATTGCGGGCGAAATGCATCTGTCAAAAGCGCATTATTTTGATCGCGGGCTAAACGCATCAGTCAGCATCCATTTCCCAACGTTACGTAGGCATGAAAACAATGGTTTTCGTGACGTGCCCAACGTGACGTAGTGATGCATACACTGAGCTGTAATAATAGTGGATGCATCAAACTAAACACCGATATATGTGGCGAAATAAAGTCGCGACACAAAATCGTACAACTTGATAAGTGCGAAATTTGATATACGTTTACGTTTTTCATAATATTTTGCGAAATATAGCTTTGTTTACATTCATTCCTGTGAAAATATATTGTTTTAAAGGACTTTGGATCAAAGACAAACAATATTTAAATATATTTTAATAAAATGTTGACAATTCTCGTTCGTGTGAAAATTTTGACTGATGCATTCGCATCAGTTGCATCAGTCTGGATCCGCGCCTGCCAACAGCGACTGTAGAGCGCCTTTACTCTAACAGTAACGTCACACGGTACACGGCTGTGCAGCGTGGTGATAAAATATTTAAGCTGTGTATTCTTTACTATACGCTACACAAGTGTGTACCGTGTGACGTCACTGTTAGATTAAAGGCGCTCTGCAGTCGCTGTTGGGCTGCGTTTGTTATAAAATATCTAAAAATAGTGAGCGCTTCGGATGTGTATACACTAAAGTATCCCTATAGTCTGTTATATTTAGTGTGAATTTGGTTACGCTACACAGCCGTGTACCGGATCAATTTACTAAACTTTCAAAATAACACTACTTACACATTTATACAGTTTATACAGTTATATTGTATGAATACACGGGAATATGATGATGCTCCATGCTGCAAACCCATTGCAAAATGTTGCAGGCTAACAAAGGATCTGCATTTTGAAATGCATGTATTACCAAATAATGCGGATGATTCACGCTCAGGAACTAAAGATAGATCTGCTTGGCTGTACGTTTTTAGGTAAAACAACCTCGCATATTTTGGCCCAAAATTTTGCACTCAGGTTTGACTAAGTACTAAAACATAATGCTGAATAATTTGTTATACGAAAATATTGCTTTGTAGAGTTGGAGACTAAGTTGTAATTGTATAAATCCAGATAATACGTAAAAAGCCACTTGACATGTAATGTGATACTGTAGGTGACACTTAACATAGATCGGAAAGTAAAAAAAAACTAAATATAACCTAATTTACTAATCGTTTGCCCCTTCTGCCAATCAAACAAGCCTATTTTATCATTGGATCGAGTCTTAAATTCATGAAATCGGACGGTTTGAAATATGTGATTATTTCAGACAATCCTGGCAAAAATTATTGTGGACACCGCGTGCGTCAAACAAAAATAGATGTATTTCTACAGAATTAATCCCCAGAAAATTTCTCCCCCTCCTACCCCCAATTCAATGTTGGTAAATGCAACTTTTAAAATTCAAATGGGAGAAACAACATTGAATAAGGGGCAGGGGGCGAGAAATTTCATGAAAGAACGTCTCAATGTTAATATTGGCGTTAGAAAAGTTGGGTGTCCACATAATTATTGCCAGGATTGTAGCTACCATGACGGAACCTCTACGTGGTCTTTTATCAACGCAAAGTAACTGGTATTGGGGGTCAACCACAAGAGCATGCTTTTAACGAGATAAAACAGATGTTATGTTCTAGCCCTTATCACTTTATGATCCAAGTTCGAAAACTAAGGTCACAGCCAACAGTTCGTCCTACGGTGTTGGTGCAGTACTTACTGTACACTCTGTCATGCGCACCAGTACCCGACACAAATGCCATTGATGACTTAAACAAAGAAATTGATGCCTTTGTCAACGTGGTTATCAAAGGTTTACCAGCAACTGATACTCGTTTAGAAGAGATAAAACGACACCAGCTAGAAGATGAAACCCGTCAAGAAATATCCAAGTATGTGAGGATGGCCAGACAAAGAGAATCTTAAAGGAATGGTGTGACATTATTGGCCATATAGAGTACAACTCACCTTAGTGAACAGTCTTCTCCTATACGAATCGAGAATAGTTATTCCCTTAGCTCTACGTCAAGATGTTCTAGACAAGCTGCATGAAGGACATCAAGGAATTGTAAAGTGTAGACGAGTTGCAATTCAATCAGTGTCGTGGCCTGGAGTCGGCAAAAACATCAAAGAATTGATTGATAACTACATAATTTGCTGCCAAACAACAAAGGACCACCCCGAACCACTGATACCTACGCCGATGGCATTCATCCGTGGCAGAGAATCGCAACAGATCTTATGCAATTCAAGAAAGCTCAATATTTAGTGGTAGTTGCTTACTACTCAAGATATATTGAACTTTCCAAACTGGAAAGTGTTTGTGTCATCAACCACCTGATGATGAAGAACAAAGCTTCCAGAATTACCTAGAAATCTGCAACCTGTTCTACCCCACCAACAACATGTGCAAGAAAAAGAAGAAACATCTCTTGTTAATATGAAACTGAACTTTGATAAGCATCATGCAGCAAAGTCACTCCAAGTTTTGCAAAACGGTGATGAAGTATGGGTACAAGATAGAAAGGAAAGTGGAAAGGTAGAAGGACAAGCGAATAGTAACATGAGCAGATCGTATGTGGTAAAGACACCAACAGCAACAGTTAGAAGAAATAGAGTTCAAATAAATAAATTGCCTGATCAAGATACATTCATACCACAATCTAAACCTCCCGAAACTGCTAATCAGCCAGTGCCCCAACCGGTTCCTGCATTGAATATTCCCAAGCCATCGGAACAGTCAGCTGAAAAACGTATTCAAACAAGGTTCGAACGAGTTGTCAAGAAGCCTGCAAGATTTACTGTATGAGTAAATCTATATTCTCACCAAAATTTATATTTTGTTAAATATTTAGAATTAGAATGATAGTTATTTAATTGAACAATTATATTTGACATTGGTATTGACATTATAGGTATTGACATAAAAGGAACAATTGAATTAAAGATGCTTTAGTTTAAGTTAAAAGGGGAGATGTAGTGTTATTATATTATTATGTTATGAAATATTATGTTGTAACGAGCGCGGGCTCACATGTGTGTTTATTATATATAAGCTTCGTATGTTCTTGTTGAATTTTTTCTATGTTACTGTTCTTGTTGAATATATCTTACTGTTCTTGTTGAATATGTCCTAGGAGACCAAGTCGTCTCTGGATAGCAACTTGCTGAAAAAATTCGTATCCGTCACTCGAAATGTTCCTCTCTTAGCCCTATCCCTTCCCCTGATAGCCTATCACAAAGCGATTACACTGCTATTCCAACCGAGCACATCATTTAGAAAGAAGACATATATTATAAACTATCTTCAATATCATCTTCGAAAGCTGCTGGCCCAGATGAAATACCGAATTGGGATCCAAAATATTATGCGCACCTATTGTCTCTGTAACGTGTTAGTTTATTACGATATAGTTTCTGATTAACAAGAAATCGAGAGAAATAGTCATTTGTTTACAATATATAAAACGCCTAGCTTGTGTTACTTTTTCGTACGCCTCGCTCGCCGCGCCTGTCAATCAAATTAATGTTTTCGTCATCGTGACGTCATCTAATAACATCGTGACATCTTTTCCCCTTTAACAAAATATGAAACTACTGTATAATATAGAATTGTATATATGCATAAAGTACTTGTACTTAACGTTTGAGTTGTCTAACGCTGAGAGCGTTCACTTCATGACATAGTCCTTGTGCCACACCGGTGTGTATTTTGTACGCGCAGATCGGCGTGGTAGATTTCCAATGGTCTCAGAGGAGGTTTCACCGTCTATAATAGTGGTACGTGTTCGAGATTGGGTTCATTCACAATCGAACTGTTCTCGGGTTCCCTACTGCTTTGCTCAGGTCCAATCTCAGGATCCATACCAGCTGGTGGTGTTGGAGGTCTTTCTTGCGATGCCCGGAGTTGTCGGCGGTTTCGTCGGTATTTCCTTCCAC